TTATTTATTTATTTATTTATATATAGGGCCTACATATATATATAAGGGGATGGAACTGAATGATATTGTCCATGTTTTCGATTACATGCTACATTCTATCGGACCCTATATAGTCTATATCGATCGCTGTGCTATAGTCAATTGGTTTCAAGCGGTGGTTTTAGATTTTGATCATCCCGCTTTTCGCCTTAAAAAACTCGACATTTCGTTGAAACCTGTCTATAGCCGTATATACAGTCTATTTGCCGCCAACTAATTCGCGCAGTCTTCAGATTCGGGTCTCCTGTCTATATACTTGCGTTAAAAAACGTTCAGACGCGGCTGTAATTACGAATACGTTCCTTTTAAGCTAGCCAACCTCTCGCAGAGCTACGTTTTATTTGATCACTGAACAAGATCAAAGTATTACCTTTAGCTAGTGTCAATTTTCTCGGAGGCTCTGCGAATGGCGGAGGCAGTGAGGAAATGTGCTCGGATTGAAATACCAAAGAGCGCGTTCGTGCGTGTGTGTGTGTGCGTGCTTGCGTGCGTGCGTGCGTGCATGCGTACGTACGTGTGCGTGCTTGCGTGCGTGAATGCGTACGTACGTACGTGTGCGTGCTTGCGTGCGTGCGTGCATGCGTACGTACGTGCGCGTGCGTGTGCGTGTGTAGTGGGAATTATGATCATACTAGTGGTGATTCCTACGAGACGATGTGAGTACAGTAAGTCTAGTCTACCGTATAACATATACGACATATACAATACAGACACTCACTACCACTCATCACTATGTTAAATTTCACCACCATTGTGCACCATAAATAAAACTAAGCACTCTTAAAACTAAGAGTGAAAGTGAAAATATCATAATGCATTTCACATTCACCGACTAAAAGATAACTTCCTACTAAAAATAGGCGACATGCGAGTTGCGAATTTTAATTCAAGGCTCGTCATTTCATAAATACTATATAGAGTGGTCGTAGCCATCGCGACAAATACTGATGTTTTACACGCGGTTTCATGTTTCACTATTTTTGCAACGTATATTTTTATGTTACTTCGACAAGCCCGCCGAGTTCTAGAACTGCTTACTACGTCTCTTAATTTGTTGCTTCTAAATTAGGGCATTGACATTAGCGTGCAAGAGAAACAAGCACAGATTCCAATATTGTACTGTACAGTTATGTGACCTCAGTTAATAAAAAAAAGCTTTACGCACTGCCTAAAAGCGGAGCTCCCGAACGTGAACGCAAGTGCGAAACGTGTCTGTCCCAAGAGCAAGGGGTTGGGGTTATTCTATTTAAGATTGTGTACTACTGTACCTGTAAACTGAGCAAAGAATATAATTAGGATTTCCCACTTATTACTTACCAGTTTTGTGCGTTAGAACGCACGGCGTTGTAGTGACAAATTAATCTACAAACATTACGTTTTAAAAAGAAAGGAACCCCGATATTAAACTTGCTCTTAATGTGAGCGTCGACAGTTACTGTGTAGATCCGGTCTTGGCCTCCTTTTCAATAGGAAAGCTCCTTTTTGACTAGGCTCTTTCAGTTCCTACTTCCTCAACATATTTGTTTCCTACACTTTTTCTCAATGGATTTATCAACTGCTTGCTTTACTGCTTGAATTTGCATAACGTGCTCTGCTCTCCACCTGCTGCTTGTGTGCAATCCTTCATTACCATTATGTTGTTCAGCGGTTGATTTAGTTAATATACTCTTGTGGTGGCAGACTAGATGACTTAGGTGTCCTTCGCCACTCCCGTGCTTAAACTGATTAAAATTGTACTTCTACATGTAATTATTTCTTTTACAACGATGTACTCTGTATTTATGTATGTCTTAGTGCACAAATGAAACAGTTTGAATCTTGAATCTTGAATCTCAACGCCCGCGTTTTGTTCCCGATTTTTGTACTCGCCTCAACCCCAGCAGCCTTCTGTCTGCATCACCGCAGTCTGAGCTGTTTTGACTATTTTATTATGCTTTTGAAAACGCCGTAATAACTTTCTATGATAACAGAATACGCAGGTATAAATGGGCGCAATTTGTGCTGGAAAGATTAATCATTGATTATGTGTGTCTGCGTACGTACGCCTGTAGGGCAGCATGAACTATTTTGCCTTTTCGCCATATAGCGACTATTACAATTCGTTTAGGCGTGCTAGTGATTTACGAGAAAGTTCAGGTTTTAAGCGATTTACACAGTAATCGTCTGTATACATGTGATGTATGTAGTGCATGGACGATTGCGCACAGTACATGCAGTCTCTCTCCCTTCCTCTCTTTCTCTCTCGCTCTCTCTCTCTCCTTCCCTCTCTCTCTCTCTCTCTCTCTCTCTCTCTCTC